CATATTTTCATTATTGGCAGATATTCTCCAATATGTAATTATATGGAACATCTATAAACAGCAGGTCAACTTGTTCAGTCTACTAGAATTACAGGTTATAACAAATTTATGTTATTATAAATTTATTAATGAATAAAGAAAGACTGGATAAATTCCTCTGTGGAATTGAAATATGCTTCATGGTGCCTGCTCTGACCCTATATACATTAATTACAGGGACCACACTATTAACTATGTGGCTTGCACATTTGACCAGAGATGGATAATTGATCACAAAGCAGCCAATGTAGAGGAACCAGCAATCCATGCATTGTGAACACTGGCTGAATTAATTACATTCTTTTCCTTGAGAATTTGAACTGAGAGGTGCAGGAACTATTGTCATCCAGAGGTGGGGTGGGAGCTGGAAGGTCATATACAACTGGGACCTAACAGATGTATTTGGCCATGAGCAAACAAATGGACAAACCCTTTAGAATCAGTACAGTGAAGTAGTGGCATTAAGAGAAACAAGAAGCAAAGATGCAGCCTCTCTCAAGAGATAAATCACATTGACTTCTGTAAGTTTTCCAATCATCATGAGGCCTGGCTTTCTGTCCTTGGATTTGTATGACCCTGATTTAATCCCTGTTTATTGTAATCATCAATGTCCTAACTAACATGGCCACACATGATCATAAAGCCATTCTTGGGAAAGTACATTTTGATATGAGTTCAGTTGGCTTTTATTAAGGAATGTAATTACAAGCAGAAGTGAAAAACTTGGGACCTTATTTATTAGTGATTTTGAGTGTCCAGTATAGTGTTTTTCAGCATTCCCATTAAGACATTCTCAGGAGAAATTTCTCTTAGTTCCTAGTGCCAGGTGATGCTCCTGAGCAACTGATACAGTTTTCTTCTTCTTCTATTATAGTCACTTTTACTTTGGATTTTTGGAAGCCTGAGGTAAATTTTGGGATTCACTTTAATAGTGTATGGGATATTAGAGAATGATTCACTTAAATTTATTCTAGCC